ATTATCTCTTGAGGGACAACAGCATCTCTGCACTTCTCTCTGTACATGCAACTATAGAAAATAACACCTGTATTTGCTTTGCCTCTTTCTGCAGGAAGCAGAACACTTGTTCTCTAGCTCATCCTTGAATTTGTAACATTTCTTTCAAAGTCTTCAAAGTCTTTAAAGGAAAACAAGAAAGTCCAGATGCCTCTTGAAAAAGCACCTTTGGGACAATCATGACCTGGATGACTAAGAATCATGGTGAGTGTTTTTTTAAACTATTGGCATAGAAACATAATATGCAAACAGAGCAATAAGCCTGTCAGTTTTCAACAGCCTGACAGACCATAATGCCCTCAGTCAAGCATGACAGGACTTGTACTCCAAAGAATACAGGTAGTCCCCAATTTACAGCCACAAATGAGCCCAAAATTTATGTTGCTAAGTGAGAAGCGTATGAAGAGAGCTTTTTTAATTAAGCCCCATTTTATTACTTTTCTTGTCACATTTGTTAAATGAATCACTTCAATTCTTAAATTAGTAGCCCTGTTGTTAAGTGAATCTGTTTTCCCGTTGACTTTTGCTTGTCAGGAGATCGCAAAAGGGGATCATCACATAATGACACTGCAACCATCATAAATGTGAGTCAGTTGTCAAGCATCAGAAGGTAAATCACATGACCTACGGGGAAACTGCAATGGTCATAAGTTTGAAAGATGTTCATGTCACTTTTTTCAGTGTCGTTAACTTTGAACAGTCACTAGATGAACTGTTGTAAGACAAGGACTACTTGTAAAGGTGAAATAAGGCCCTTAGATTCCACCTTCCTTCCATTCTCTACTACTTCACAAATAAAAGGGCAGAGGGTGCCCCAAGCATCATGGGAAACGTAGTTTCACAGATATCATGTTGAGAGACATTCCACCGGTCCCATTTCTCGGCTTCTCATTCTCATAAAGTTAAAGGGTATGCATTTTTTGTTCGTTATTCAGGTTCTCCTGCTTGAACAGGGAGCTGGACTAGAAGACCTCCAAGGTTCTGTTCCGTTCCATTCCTATTCTTCCTATTCTATTATTCTTATTCTATTCCATTCCATTCCTTACGTTACCTTTCTTCTTCATATTCTACTCTATTCCTATTATTCCTATTCTATTCCTATTCTATTCTATTCCTATTATTTCTATTCTATTTCTATTCCTATTATTCCTTTTCTATTCTATTCCTATTATTCCTAAGCTATTCTATTCCTATTCCTATTCTATTTCTATTCCTATTATTCCTATTCTATTCTATTCCTATTATTTCTATTCTATTTCTATTCCTATTATTCCTATTCTATTCTATTCCTATTATTCCTAATCTATTCTATTCCTATTTCTATTCTATTTCTATTCCTATTATTTCTATTCTATTCCTATTATTTCTATTCTATTCTATTCCTATTATTCCTATTCTATTCTATTCCTATTATTCCTATTCTATTCTATTCCTATTATTCCTAATCTATTCTATTCCTATTCTATTTCTATTATTCCTATTCTATTCTATTCCTTATTCCTAATCTATTCTATTCCTATTCTATTTCTATTCCTATTATTCCTATTCTATTCTATTCCTATTATTTCTATTCTATTTCTATTTCTATTATTCCTATTCTATTTCTATTCCTATTATTCCTATTCTATTCTATTCCTATTATTTCTATTCTATCCTATTCCTATTCTATTTCTATTCCTATTATTCCTATTCTATTCTATTCCTATTATTTCTATTCTATTCTATTCCTATTATTCCTATTCTATTCTATTCCTATTATTCCTATTCTATTCTATTCCTATTATTCCTAT